TGAAGATCCTGAGTGACACAACTAAGACCCAATGCAGCCATAAAAAAAATAATAAAATAAAATAAAATAAACCCAGGAGTCTGATTCCAAAATTGATACTTTAAAAATTTTTTTTATTTTATTGAAGTATAGTTGATTTTCAACGTTGTGTTAATTTCTGCTGTACAGCAAAGTGATTGTTGTACATATATATATTCCTTCTCATATTCCTTTTCATTATGGTTTATTACAGGATACTGAATACAGCTCCTTATGCTCTACAGTAGCACCTTGTTGTTTATCCATTCTATATATAATGTTTTGCATCTGCTAATCCTAAACTCCCAATCCATGCCTCCCCAAAATTGATGCTTTTAACCACTCTTCTATACTCCCTCTCTAGCAGAGGGGAAAGAACATATGAGGAATCAGAAGACCTGGTGTCTCTATTACGAACTAACTCTATGTGCTTGGGCATTCGCTTAGGTGTCTGAGCATCAGTTTGCTCATCAATAAAATGAGAATGAGAACATTTACTTTATGAGGCTTTTAAAAGGGTTATGCGATGTTGAAAAGGGGAAATCACTATATACAAGATATTATTGTCATGTTTATCATAAGATCTAATATCCTTGTCTTCTAGTTGGGTCACAATCTAATAGGCTATCATGGAGACCCTCGGTTCCCATAACCAGTACAGCAGCAGCAGGTTGGCTGATTCTCATCCCATCAGCTTTAACATCCCTGACCAAGTCTCCTTGATGACCAAAAGCACACCTCGGTGCTCCCTTCCTCCTGAATGCACTCACTACTACCTTTGGGAACAGCTGCAGCTTATGCCCTCACTTCTTTGATTTTGTTGCCTGAGGAGTGACTGTTAAAAAATAAGTAGACTGAATTACAGCTAACAGTGAAGTGCACTCCGGAAGGCCAAGTTCCAGTTTGGTGGTAGAATCCTGGTTCCGGTTTAATGGTGGAATCTGACTATCAGAGCTGGGAGAGAACTTCAAGTTCTTCTTTTAGTGCAACTAACACAACAACCCCTCTCCCAACCCATTTTATAGACTAGGAAAACTGAGGCCAGGTAGGTGAGATGACACAACTAGTTTGGATTGGTAGCAGGCTTTTTTTTTTTTTTTTTTTTACCTTGAAAATGTTTTCAAGTGGGTTTAACACAAACGATTTCACCTTACCAAAATCATATCTGGAAAGTACTTCAAATACTTACATATTTGTTTCATTATGTATACCTTTTCAGAAAGGAGCCAAATCCTAAAATGTCATTACTCATAAATAAACAAAACCTTAAACCAATAATTCAGGCAAAGCCCATTCTTCACATTGCCCTTACTTGGCCATTTCAAGCATTTCTCAGGTAGAAACAGGCCCACATCTTCAGGGGCAGTAAAATCTAATGGTTCAATTCAGACTGCTCTGTACAAAGCTCAGTCTATTATTACTAGTTCATCTCTTAGCTTAGTCTCCTAGTCTGAAAGAACTGTACCTATCTCTTAGAGCTGGCGTTGGGGAGGGGGGGTCACATGAAATAACACACTTTTAGCACCTACCTGGCACTCTATAACTTTATGATTTGGGCATAATTCTTTCCTCTCTTAAGGAGATAGCAATTCACTATTCGATGACCTTAGACCACTAGACATTAGACCACTCCGATGCTACTAAACCAAGGAGAAACCCAGCTGTGACAGGCTGAGATATGTCCGTCCCCACCCCCATTCCCTTTTAAGACAGTGAGTAGGCCGGAATTCTGGTTGATAAATGAGAGGAGCTGAGAAGGAGCTGAGAGAAGCTGCAGTGATGACTGTTCTGAGAATCTGATCTGCGAGGAGACGAATCTCCACATGTACCGTGGAGATGCTTTGGGAAAGACAGCCGGCCTACCTGACCGAAGGAGGACCAGAGAGAGAAGGGCTGGATGAAAGAAATGCTTAAAGGGAGATGGATTGACTGGAGGTGCCCAAAGAGGAAAAATTGAAACGGGAAACAGAGGCTGAATATTGGGAAATCTTCTGGACGGTGAGTGCCATTAAAGGAGGCATTGCGTGTCCCGGGGATACAGATTTGGGGCGAAAAGCGTAGCAGGGACAAAGGTGGGCTACTCAAACTGCGGAGACAGAGCCCCCAAGCTGTGGGGGGTACCCGGATGGCCCGAGGGTGACCAGGGCCGGCGAGGACCGGAAGGCGGGGCTCTGGGGGCACTCACAGGGTAGGCGGGGGGTGGGTTGGGGGGGGAGGTCGGGAGCCGGCAGAGGAGCCGACGCCGTGTTAGCCCCGGGGAAGGTCAGCGACCCCGGGCCGGGGAGCTGAGCGGAGACCCGAGAGAGGCCGCGGTTGCCATGGCGCCGGGCGGGGAGGGGGTGACTCGGGCCCCGCCCCGAGTCCCGCGGGGCTGCCGGCTCCAGATGGTCCCGAGCCTCCCGCGGGAGCCGGCGGCCTGCGGCAGGGGGAGGCTATTGTCCTCCTTCCGCGGCGCCGCAGTCCCGCCGCTCGCGCCCGCGCCCCGCCACCGCCGGCCCCGCGCGCTCCCCGCGCCGCTCGCGCCCCGTGACAGCGCCCGCCTGCAGCCTGCCGTGCGCCCCGCCGCCGCCCGCAACCGCCCCTCGCGGCTGGGCTGCGGGCGCGGCAACGACCGGTGCGCCCCCGCCCGCCGCGCTCCCGGCTGTCCGGCCGGCGCTCCGCACCGAGGTAGGTGCCGGTGCCCGTGCCCGCTTTGTCCCGGCCGGCGGGGCTGTGCGCTTTGTGCGGCCGCGTGCGGTCGGCGGGGTCGGGGTCGGGGTCGGGGTCGGGGTCGGGGCCGGGGCCGGCCAGGGGAGCAAGGGTGGGAAGATGCGGCTCCTGGCGCTCGCTCCCACTGGGTCCCGGGGACAGGATGGAGAGTCAAGTGCCAGCCACCCAGGTACCCGTGTGCGAGCAGCGGGGATCGAGGCTTGCGGGACGCGGGCCTTTCCGGAGACCAGAGAAGAGTCTGGAAGAGTTGGGGCTGACAAACGCGTTAAGGGATCGGGTCGCTGGGCTCTGAGCGTGTCTGACAGCGCCAGCTGTTCGCATCGCGGAGGCGGGCCGGCCGGCGCGGGTCCAAGTGCTGCGGACACGCTCGGCTGTCTCTGCCCCGCTGCTGTGAGCCCTCGACTCCCTCTCGGGAGCTGGCTGGGGGCTCCCTCTGGAGCCGGTGGGCTTCTCCTCGCCTCTTTGGTAGCTAGCTAGCTGCATGCTCTCCTTTTATGCTCCCTCACAGTGTGTGTGACATGCTCCCTCACAGTGTGTGTGAGAGAGGGACACGGTTGGCTGTGGTGACCGGAACACCGGCAGAGGAAAAAGGGAGAATGAAGCCCCTGCGGGTGGCGGGGAAGAGGCAGCGTAAGGTGTCCCTGTGGCCGAGATATGCAGAGGGCTTGGAGTCCGTGGGCACAGAACTAGCGGGCAAGGCCTCCTCCTGAGCGGTTCCAACTCCAGCACCACAATCGGCATTTACCACCCACTGTGGCTCAGAACGACTTTACCCCTTTAACCTCGTGGCATTGCATACTTGTCTGATCTGCAGGCTTGCCCCTGTCCTAACCTGCTACATGCTGTCTCTGTGGGTTGTTTCTCAGCTGCCCTCCTCCCCTCCGAGAGCAGCCACAATTCCGGCGCTGGAGAGCTGGTCGGTTCAGGCACCGGCACGGTGTCTACAAACCAGTTTCCCTTGAAGGTGAAGGGGGCAGAGTGAATTCCAAATGTGTGACTTAGCTTGAGGTGCTGGGCAACCTCTTGGCATATTCAGAAGAGCAAGGGATTAGGGAGAAAAAAGCTAATAGAGATCTTAGATTTGTCCCTTAGGGAAACTGATGTAACCCATCGGTTACAGACTTGGGGGAGGGGCGTAGCAAGGGAGTGGAAATTAATCTGAATAATTCTGCCCTGAGTGGAGGATTCTAAAGGAGACGATCAAACAAAAATATAGTCCAACTCTTCAGCCCAGTTCCTAAATTCCTTGGAGGAGAGTTCCTGGCGCTTTATCAGGAACACAGCCTTGAGGGAAATGGTTGGGGTTTTGTCTCTCTGTTCTCTGGTTGCCCTGCGTGCATTTCCTTCTGCTGTCCTAGGAGCCCCGAGTTTGTTTGTGATTTCTTTTTCCTTTTACCTCTCCGCTGGTCCACTCATACTTTGAGTCAAATAAGATTTTTACTTTGCCAAAGTCCCCATTCCTTCTCATCTGTTATTCATCCCGCTGTCATTTGTTCAACTCCACCGCCCAGCAGCATCTCCAGCCATATCGTCGTCCTTCCGCACATCTGCAATTTACCTGTGTCCAGCCATCAGCTCTATTTGTCTCATTAGATCTAGAGCCCACTCCATCTTCATTTTCCTCTCTCCTTGCCTGAGGCTTCTGGTTCTTTGTGGATCTTGGGGTTTCTGAGGGGAAGTTGTATTTGAGTTTAGCATGGGAGAGAGCCTAAACAGACCCAGGGGCTAACCTCAGGTCACACTCATCCCTGAAACTTTGTGTCTTCTCTGTCCTCATAGCTTCTCTAACTAATTTAACTGCTTCTCATCTTTGGACCACAGTGGCCCTCAAGATGTGGTCTCCAGACCAGTAGCTTCAGTATCATCTGGGAACAGTTTAGAAATGCAAATACCCAGGCCCCACCCCAGATCTCCTGAATCAGAAGCTCTGGGGAGCAGGGCCCAGTGGTCTGTGTTTTAATAGCCCTCCAGGTAATTACGATTCATGCAAGGTTGAGAATCCCTGATCCTGAACTATAGAGCTCAACACTGACGGTACTCCAGATGAGAAGCAGAGGGTCTTCTCTGATGCCATTTTCATTCTTTCCTTGTGTTTTTTTCTCTAAATCTAAAAAAGACATGAATTTGATGGAAAAAAAATATGGCCCATTCATTCAATGTCTCTTTTTTAAATGTTCTTTTTTAAAAAATTTTATTGGAGTATAGTTGATTTACAATGTGTTAGTTTCTGCTGTACAGCAAAGTGAATCAGTTATACATATACATATCTCCACTCTTTTTTAGGTTCCTTTCCCGTATAGGTCATTACAGAGTAGTGAGTACAATTCCCTGTGCTATACAATAGGTCTTTATTAGTTCATTCAATATCTCTTTATTGAATATCTATTGGGAAAACACCAACATGAGTAAGATGCAGCCCTTGTCCTCAATGGGTTAAAAGTGGAGCAGGCAGAGAGACACATAAACAACTCACTGTAATACAATGTGATAAGTGTAATAATAGCTGCACGCTGAAGTGCTGTGGGAGCACAGAGGAGGGAATGATCAACTGGCTCTGAGGGAGGGAAAGAATTAATCAGGAGGAGGATGTGTCGAGAGAAGGAATTAGGGTACAAGACAGACTCTAGCCCGGGGGGATAGGATTTCTAGCTTTACAGCCCAGCGAAAGGGAGGAAAGGGGAAGGGGGGCAGCTGCCCTTGAGGACCAGCTCTAGGCTGAGTAGAGTCCGCGTCCAGCAGCGCTTGGGCATATAATCTAGCAGGACCCCAAGCGTGCAGCTGGCGGGAGTTGGCTTTATTATAGCATGAACAATGTAAGCTACTTGGGCCTGGCCTCCAGGTCAGTGGCTAAGAATAAGGCATTGGTGAAACTGTAATCTGGATTAGCTGCCGTACCGTTCTATTGCCAGAGTCCAGGAATCCATGGAGAAGAATCAGGTTGATGATTCCCCAGCATAGAGTTGATTTAGGCGGTCATGGGGCTGGGACACAGGCTGACTAAGGAAATGAGCATGGAGACCCAAATCATAAGCGAGGAATGATAAATCAGAGAAGAGAAACCAGGATGGGATCTATGTAGAGAAACTCAACCAGAAAACTACAGGACTCTGGACATGGCAGCAGGGAACACAGAACACAGCATATTGTCCAAAAGGCCAGGGGTCTGCAGAGCCCAAATGCTTGAAAACCAAAACTCAGAGGCCCTCAGAACCACTGTGCTGAAGGACACCAGAAAGCATCACTCACTATGGGAATAAACTCCTTGGAGTCCCAACATGGTGGCCCCATGGGGTCCTGTGACCTAAGGCAAGGGTCCCCAACCCCCGGGCCGTGGACAGGTATGGGTCTGCGGCCTGTTAGGAACCCGACCACACAGTAGGAGTGAGCAGTGGGTGAGTGAGTGAAGCTTCATCTGCCACTCCCCATCGCTCGCATTACTGCCTAAACCATCCTCCCCGACCACCACTGTCCATGGAAAAATTATCTTCCACGAAACCAGTCCCTGGGGCCAAAAAATTTGGGGACCACTGATCTAAGGACACCAGAGCCATCTTGGTTCCTTATCTATATGATGGGAGGCATCTTGGAAACTCAGGATGAAAAGCATGTACATCTCAGATTGGATTTAGCCAGGGGACCATTTTATTTGGGAGAAGGGGAGGTTTCAGCTTCATATTTTCTCCCCCAGGTTATAGGAGAGGCTGTAACACCCAGACCTCCCTGAGAGGTCTGGATCCCATGCCTTGGTCCCAATAGGATCTGTCAGGAGGACAAAGTTGGGTCACCAAAAAGAAGACAAAGAGGTATATGTTTAGGTTTTGTACAGCTTCCAGAGGTCCTGGGGACACACAGCAGTTTGGAGATGGGGTCTGACAGTCTGCTTCTTTAGGTTTCTGCTCTTTGTGGAGTACAAAGATATAAAACAAGGTTTGAAAACCTCAGAGGCCTTCAGGGGCCAAGCAGGTAACAAAAATGTGTGACAAGGCTGGGAAGGAGCCAACAGGGAATGGTGGGGCCTGTAGAGAAGTGGAAAGCGCAAGCCCACCTAAAAGAATCCCAAATTAGTTCTTTTATAACAGCTCATTGGCCATACCCCTGGGGGCTGGCTTTAGTAGGTTTGTGACTCCTGATAAAAGGAAAAAGGGTCACAGAATAGAAGGCGGGACATTGTATGTAGGGTTTTTTGTGGAGAGCTCTGTGCAGGGAGAGCGGGAGTGCTAGAAATGTGCATCCCAGAGCTAAGTGTGAGCATGGCTGCTGTGGAAGAAGCCCTAATCTGAGGGGCCCAGAGAAATGGAATTCGAATTGGTCCCAGGGCTTAGGCTGCTTCCCTGTCCAGTGGCTGAGAGTACTCGGGGACTCTAGTTCAGGTCACACCTTGCCTACAGCACTCTTTGCTCAGGTTGACTTGACTCTGCCCTCGAATTTATTTTTATATAAATATTTACAGAGCAAATTCAAAGAATCTGCTGGGGATTAGGGGAAATGATGGATTTTAAATGAGAAAGGAGTCCTCAGCCTAGTAAAAATGAAGCTCTCTTTCCTATTACAAGGAATGAAAAGCCCAAATCTAGGAACCTGAGACCTTAACTCCCAGGGAAATGTTTGTGTGTGTTTTCTTTTTGGGAGAAAAGGGAGGGGTAGACAGTCCTGGCCTTCACGTGGGGCGGGTTCTGCTTGATGAAACCACTTAATGACAGAAGCCAAGTTCTGCCCTGTACACCCATGGGAACACATCTCACATCTCGCTAACCACCCACAACTCACCACCCATTCTTTCTTCCTTCCCCCACACCACACAAGAGGTACCATACCTTTTTTCTAGAGCCAGAGACTGCCAAGGTCATAGCCCCAACCCTAGGAAGTGGTGCTAAGGATGAAAATGTCTTTGTATTTAAGAGGCACTAGGAAAATGAGAAATGAAGAATTTGGGGTTCAGTTACAGAGTCAGCCCCCTCCATTCTCTTGAATGGCTGCTGAATTACTCGAGAACTTTGGATAGTAGAGGTTTAAAAAAAAAAAAAAATCCCTAAAAGCTAATCTGAAACTCATTTGTTAGTTTGGAGAAGGACAGGGTTTGTTTGTGTAAAATAGAGTCGTGAGTTGTGCTGGCGAGCACACATGGTCCCAGTTTCCCCAGCCTGGGCCCTAGAAGGGAGCTCTGAAGGGCTCCAGGAAGTTCAAGAACATGTAAATGTTATGATTAAGCGCTTGTCCTCCAGAGTCAAAAAGAATCTCGCTTCAAAACCCAGCTCTGTGCCTTCCAGCTGCCTCCCAGCGACCCTGAACCGTGATTTAACTTTCATGGAGCAACTTCGTCATCTATGAAATGGGGATGATAATGGACCCTTGCCCCACAGAGGGTTGCGGTGAGGTGATGCATGTAGATGGCGAGGACACATATCACAGCTGACGTTCATTGAGCACCTATTAAGTATTCTCTGTCACAAGTAAAAGGAAAACAAGGGGAGATAACCATACTGCGTCCTCCTTTGAACTCCTGGGCTCTTTATCCATGCTTACTAGCAGTGCATCAGTCTTCCTGGTGTATCATAGATGCATCTTGGCCTGAGAGCAGGATGTGGGTCTTTTCACCTCAAATCGCTTATAGCAGCAGTCCCCAACCTTCTGGTTTCATGGGGGTGGGGGGATGGTGGTAATGCCAGCGATGAGGAGTGACGGGGAGCTGCAGGTGATGCTTCGGTCACTCACCCGCCACTCACCTCCTGCTCTGCAGCCTGGTTCCTATCGGGCCATGGACCCATCCTGGTCCGCGGCCCGGGGGTGTGGGGATCTCTGGTTTACAGGGTATAGGAGGCCATCTTGGGGGTGGGGGTGGGGGCGGGGGCCCTCAGAACAGTTTGTGGAACCAGGAATGAAAGAACTCCAGTGTATACTCACTATTGCCCAAGGGGTCCCAGGCCTGCTTCCTGCATTGCCCTGGTGTCCATATTGCTGTCCTGAGCCACGCTGAGGGCCATCGCCACCTTCGGCCCCCTGCCCACTGTCCCTCTCTGGCCTGAGGTTCTGGAGACCTTCATCTCCACTATGTCGCTCTGAGACACTGCTGCCTTCCAGCCTCACTCCACGTGTGTCTGTTGTGTTCCTGTCTGTCTCTGCTTCTCCACCATGGCTTCCTCTCTCCCACTGGGGGATGATTTCCGTTGGTGAAAACAACGACCACAACCTTTGGCCATCAGGAGAGCAGAGCAGATCTAGGGCAGGAAGAGAGGAGGACACGGTGAGTGTTGGACTCAGTGGCTTTGAGAGGCGCCTCACCAGCCACATTCCCCCTTGCAGGAGCAGGAGGCCATCCACCACCATGAGCAGCACCCTGTCACCCACAGACTTTGACAGCTTGGAGATCCAGGGCCAGTACAGTGACATCAACAACCGCTGGGACCTGCCCGACTCGGACTGGGACAATGACAGCAGCTCGGCCCGCCTCTTTGAGAGGTCTCGAATTAAGGCCCTGGCAGGTGAGGTCAGGGGAGGGCCGGGGGAGATGCTGAGAATGGATGTGGGATGGGAAGCTTGTCATGAAGAGTCCTTCAACTTCATGGGAAGACCGACTCTTTCTAAGCTGCTGCACTAGAGCGGGAAATCCAGATCACCCTACCAAGCCCCTGGCCCCCAACTCCAGCCTCAAGGACAAACCGCACACAATCCATAACACGCCCAGCTTCCTTCCCCACAAGCAGGGAGAAGCCGTGCTGACCCTGGGACGCAGCTGTGTTCCCCTCTGCGCTCAGCTGACTTCCCGGCCTCTATCCCTGAGTCATGTTCCTTGATTCTTTTGCTCTTAGTCTTGCTATTCTGTTTCCACCCACCTCTCCCTTACCTTTCATCCTCTTGTCTCTTCCTTGATTTCCACCGTCATCTCTCACACCTGTTCCCCTTCCTAGTCCAGTAGCCTCTCCTCTCCCTCCCCACCTGTTCCTTCCACCTGCCGCCTGTTCCTCCCTCTATTTCATCTACTGGTTCCCTGAAGCAGGTTCCCTCTGCCTGCCTCTGGTTTCCGCAGCCGCCCATTCTCCCCGCCTGCCTCAGCCCCTGCCCTCCCCTATGGCCTCGGTTCTCTCCTTCAGCCCCTGCGAACACAAGCAAACCCGTTCGACGGGCCTCCCTGCGTTCTGGGGAGGAGTTGTCATGGCAACAAGAGTGCGGCTGCCACCTGACACCACCGGCTGCGGCTGTCGTGGGGCTGAGTCACCCACACACCCCAAGGCCACCCACCTTTTTGGTTTCCCTCCTCCATGCCACCCTTGTCTTTTCCACTGACCTGCTGGCCTCCCAGCCCAGTGCAGTGGGAGAGGTCACAGCTACTCCTTCCTGAGAGGTGGTGCTCCCAGCGTGGGTGGGGTGGCCTCCTATAAGAAGGGAGACACTGAGGGGGGTGGTTCCCAAACTTGGCCGCACTTTTTACAGGATCACCCACGGATGTTTTCACAAATATCGGTTCTCAAACCCCTTTCTGGACACACCAAATTAGAATCTTTGGACCTAAGGTCCAGGAATCGGAATTTTTAAGCTCTCCACGTAATTCTTTTCAGGCAGCCCAACACCATTCTGAGGATCCCCATGTGGTAGCCATTGCTTCTGGGGGTCCCTTATCAACTTCTGCTGGGCCTCCCTGTCCTTCCCGTTAGGTCTACACGCTGGCTTGTGAAATACTCATATTGCTGTTTCTATAGATGAGAGAAGGCAGAAGACACGGGTTATGGAGAATCTCACCTCTCTGGGGGAAAGTTTCCCTGGTACCCTGATTTTGGATAAGAGTAGCTTCTAGAATGGTCATGATGTCTGTGTGCACACGACACGTGATACCCAGGACTGTTGCAATGTTTGTGCATGCGACATATGCCACCTATGCTGTCAATAGGTGTTTATCTCCACTACTAAACGGGGCTCTCCTGAGGAGGTGTCGCTGTATGGGCTTTGCCTAGCACTGCGCCTCGCACCAGTAGGTGCCAAATAAATACTGAATGAAGGAAGATGGGAGAAGGGCAAGAGTAGCTTGTAAGTGACAAGGGCTGAAGCCCATAGAAAGGTAAGAAGGAAATCGGGTAGATGTGCCCGGCAGTGGGTGTCCTGGGGGCCTGGGATGGCCTGGCCGAGGAGGGCCTGATGGGCCCCATGGCAGGGAAGGAGCTGATACTGGAGGTGAGGATGACAAACAAGTGAGGAAGATAACAACACCTATCTCACAAATGAAGGAATGTAAGCAAACACCTAGCACAGTGCCTGGCTAGTACTACTGAGCTGGCTTTGCCCCTTCAAGGATTTCTCTTTCTCTGCTCCCTGAGCTGGGGATCAAAGCCCACATCCTGAAGGGGGACCTCCCAGAGTCACAGAGAGGGGGCATCCTCATCACACCTGCAGACCTTGGGAAAGCAGGACTTTGCTTCGGGGGCCTCTCGCTCGGGTCTTGTGTACTCGGAGGCAACTCGGGGCCAGACGGGCAGGTCTCTAAGGCCCCGGCAGTTCCCTCCTGCGGCCCGCGGGGCCTGGCCCTGCCCCAGCCGGAAAGCTCCGCCTCCCACCCCTCCCCCGTCACTGTCCGACCTGTTTGTCTGGAGCTGCCTCCGTCTCCTCTCGCCGCAGCCAGGTGTGTTCTGACGACGGGTCCCGCAGCTCGGGGCTCAGACATCCCGTGACTCCTTTTTCCCACTCCTCGAAACTTCCACCGTCCTTGAGGCACACCCCCTGCCACCCGGGGACCCCAGGCTCGCGGGATCCCAGGCTCGAGGGGGAGCCGACCCTCGGCGCCCCGCCACGGCGCGGGCAGAGCATGGACGCTGGGCCCCGGGAGAGTGAGAGGCAGCAGCATCATGAACGGGCACGGAGTGAGCAGGGCGCACGGGCACGGCCTGAATGGGGCCGGCGAGTTTTACTACGAGGCTGTGGAAGAGTCTCAGAACCCCGGGGGCCTCCCGCTCTCGCCGGCTGCCTTCATCAGCCCGGCTCAGTACGCCAGCATGCTGGAGGGACGCTTCAAGCAGCTTCAAGGTGGGCTCCGGGGGGCGAGCGGAGGGGAGCCGCGCGGAGAGGGGGCCCCGCGGAGCGAGGGGCCCGGGGGGCGTGGGAGAGGAGCCGGAGCCAGGAACCCGGGGTCGGGGGGAGCGTCTTCTGTGACTCAGACGTTTGTGTTGGGAGACAAAGTGCCGGGGGAATAATTACAAGTGGCCGGAAAACACGGGGATGCTGACAGAATCGGGAAAGGCTTGGACCCGCTGGAGGGGCGGTGAGAGCGAGAGCGGGTGTGACGGCGGCGTCGGGGCCCAGCTGGGCGTGTGTCCTCGAAGGCGGGGAGCGAACGTGGTTCGCTGAGACTTTCCGGCCTTTGGGAGGAGACGCCCGCTGGAGTGGTCAGGGAAGGAGACAGGGAGAGTGAGCCAGTAGGCGAGGGACCTAGGGCGTGTTTGTGCTGCCCTGGGTTTCTGAGTGGGTGTCTTAAGTGTGTGTGGAAACCAGGGAGTGTGTCAAAGGGAGCTGGTGCAGACAGGCTCAGGTATATGTCTGAGCAGGCTGTGTTCACCCTGGCGGCCATACTCCAGTGTATCTCTGGGAGCCACTGTGTCTTGTGTGTCCATGGACGCCTTGTAAAGTTACACTTTGTCCCTGGCGCTTGGCTTTGCACATTTTTCTCCTAGCTGCCCCCGTTTCCACATCTTCCCCTCTCCTGCTACCTGTGCGCCAAAATGGCCTCACCCCTGTGTGCCTGGCATCAGGGCAGACTCCATGGGTCCAGTAATGGCTGATGTTCCGGGCAGTCCCCGGCTCGGGCAGGGCCTGTGGACCCTGAGAGAAGGCCCACAGAGCATCAGGATATCTGAGCATTTGTTAGGACCCCAAGGTTGTCCCAGGTACGGGGTTGGAGGTAAGAAAGACAGAAATAGACATGGGTGTGTCGCTATGATTTATGGGTGAGGTGCATAGGAATGTGAGATTAAGGGGTGAGTCTTTTCGGTTTCCGAGATGCTCGTGCTGAGACGGAAGGACAAGTGACTCTTCAGGCCCTGGCCATTTGGACTGGGTCCTTGCACTGGGCTCCTCTGGGGAGAACTGGTGGAAATCCTAGTGGCCGGAGCAGCTTCCGATGGCCTGAGCCTCTTCCCTCACGTTGTCATTTATAATACTTTTAATTCTTATTTTTCTGTGAAATGTAACAGCATCCCCTCATCAGCAGGTCCGCCTGTGGACCAGGCAGCAGGCACCTCCTCACTTTTTTGGAGATTGGCGCTAAACTCTGCCTGGCTTCTCCCTGCCCCCACCCCATGTTTCTTGGACTCACCGTTTCCCCTGTTTCCTACTTTCACGATGACGTTTTCCCTCTTGGCATTGGAATATTAGTGTCCTGGGACAGGATCCCTTTGCAACCAATTGAGTCAACCCAGAAGTAGAGGAGCCTGTCTTTTCTTTAAATTACCCCAGGAGAGCAAGCTGACTCAGGAGGCCTGCAGCCTCTATAATGTCACATCCTTCTAATGCCCACTTGGAACAGCGGCTGCTGTAATTTAAGTTCACACCCTCTCCTTTGTCCACCACCAAAAGGGAACAGCCATACCTCCTGCTGGACCGACCTGAGCACCTCTTACTCTTTCCTTCGGGTTAGATCATGCCTATAAACAGTAACTCATCGAGGAGCCACTTCGTGCCTCATCTTATACACATTGTCTCAGTCAACACAATGACTTGCTGAAAGAGAAAGTAATGTGCCCATTTTACAGATGAGGAAAGTGAGGCCCTGATGGGTGAAGCAACAGCATTTCACCACTGTTACATGACAGAGTCCTGATCCCAGACCTCCCCTGCATGTCCCCTGCTTCTAATTTCTTTCATCCTTTCTTCACAAAGCCTGTTTTCCATCTCTTATTTTTGTTCTACACCTTGCTTATGAACTCATTCCAATTTCTGTATTTCCCGGCTTTTTAAGCTATGGGTTTTCCTCCCGGCCGTCTTCCTGCCCTTCCTCCTCCCCAGACCTCACTTCCCCAACCCCACCAACTGGTGTTTAGAAGCAGGTGCACGGTACTTGAAGGGCAGAAATGACCCCATGTTGCTGCCACAGATGAGCGAGAAGCTGTGCAGAAGAAAACCTTCACCAAGTGGGTCAACTCTCACCTGGCCCGGGTGACATGCCGGGTGGGAGACCTGTACAGCGACCTCCGGGATGGACGTAACCTCCTGAGGCTCCTCGAGGTGCTCTCGGGAGAGACACTGGTGAGCTGTGGTCACCAGGGAGGAGGAGGCCTGAGAGACAGTGGTCAAGGGGACAAGCTATGGGAGTGGCCCCGAACAAGAAGAGTGACACCGCAGAGCAGAAAGCAGTGGCCACCCTCTGCTCAAAGGATGGTTTCATTTTGAGAGGCTTTGCTGCGTGAATTAAACCAGGAGCATTGCTTCATGGAGACAGGAACAGTGGCCCCATTGAAAACATTCTTTTCCCACCCACTCTGGGTGTCCTTAATTCCCTTGGGAATCTTAATCTGCCTCAAGCCTCATCTGCAACTCAGCTTTAGCTCCCTGGGGCGGTCCCTGTGTTCTGAGGGAGGTCATGGGGAAGGTGTAGGAAGCAGGGCCCCGGGAAAGCTAGGAGGGAAGGAAGAGGAGGCCCATGGTCCCATGGCTTTGTGTCCCTGGTCCCTCGACAGCCAAAGCCCACAAAGGGCCGCATGCGGATCCACTGCCTGGAGAACGTGGACAAGGCGCTGCAGTTCCTGAAGGAGCAAAAAGTGCACCTGGAAAATGTGGGCTCGCATGACATTGTGGACGGGAACCACCGCCTGACCCTCGGGCTGGTGTGGACCATCATCCTTCGATTCCAGGTACCCCGCACGGTGTTGCTCGGTGGGTGCCCTGCACACCGGTGCTGCAGCCCCCAAGGTCACTGCACACACGGAGGGCCTAGGACCTCCTACGCCAAATCAGGGGACGCTCCTCATTAAACAGGGTGGAGGCCAGCGTGGATGTTGTCAAACTTCTGTGGCAAATTCCCTGTGGCCTGGTCTGTGTACTGGTCACGGGCTATAGGACCACATGTCGCTGCACAAGGGACTGGAAATTTTACAGACTGGTCCTTCCCCACGGAGAGTTTTAGAGCTACATTTGGGGTCTGGTCACCAGCCCACTCCGCTGCCTCAAACTCTGCTCACCTCCCTCAAAAGAGAACAGCCACCCTACTCCTTCTTATGCTCTGAGCAAAGCCAGTCCAGTGTCCTTAACGCCATCACAGCTCTCCTGATTCCCCTGCCTCCTCTCCGGGTGTAACCTCCCCTGCTCCTTCCAGCCCTAAGCAGAGCTCTGTCAGCTTCACCTTTGAAACCCAGCTGTCAGGAAATGTTCACTCCACTACCTGCAGTTCCCCCACCTGCAGGAACCGCATTCTTCGCTTCGAGGCACTTCCACTCTTCTGAGTTCCCACCCCATCCTGCTGCCTCAGATCCCTTTGACCTGAAGTTTTGTGGTCACTGACCCAGGAGGAAAGGTCCCCAGGCTCTGTCCTTGGACCCCTAATCCAGGAATCTAAGGAGCAGTTTCCTGCCGTGTATCTCTGAGCATCTCTGATAATTCCAGGAGCCCCTGTTCAGGGAGTGAGGGCCTGCCTTCCTCCCTTCCTTCCTTCTGTCCTTCCTTCCTTCTTAGATCCAAGACATAAGTGTGGAAACAGAAGACAATAAGGAGAAGAAGTCAGCCAAGGATGCCCTGCTGCTGTGGTGCCAGATGAAGACCGCGGGGTGAGGCTGCCCGGGCAGCGTGGCCTTGGAGGGTTGGATGCACCGAGGCTGTGCAGTAAAGGAAGGATGGGGGCCAGGAACCACAAGCTGGAGGTCCGTCCTCGAGGCACAGACCGGGATGGCCCTCCTCACTGTCTATCCTGGCCTCTGCTTACAGGTACCCCAATGTCAACGTGCACAACTTCACCACCAGCTGGAGAGATGGGCTGGCCTTCAACGCCATTGTACATAAACACCGGTGAGAAGACGGGGGTTCGAGAGCTTGTCTGAGTTACTGGATGGGTTGATGACCCATGGGCCCAGGCACACATAGACAAAGCAGTGAAATGAGATGAGCTACACGGCAGTTACGGGAAAGGAACGTTCGGAGAAGAGCCAGGATGTCGGGGTGCCTACTGCATGGAGGGCTTGTGATGGGAGCCCTGGGGCAGGGAGGGTTGGGGACTTAGGGAGAAAGATAGGGGTGGTTTACTTTTCCTCTTCAGAATCTCCCTTGCCCTTGATACCTTCTATATTCCTTCCCCACCCAGGCCAGACCTGCTGGATTTTGAGTCCCTGAAGAAGTGTAATGCACATTACAATCTGCAGAACGCTTTCAATCTGGCTGAGAAGGAGCTGGGACTTACGAAGCTGCTGGATCCTGAAGGTGGGGCAGAGAGGCTGTGGGTTAGAGACAGAAGGTAGATGAGTGGGTGCCGGGGACTGAGGGCGGCGAGAACGGGAAGGAACTGCAGATCGTTCAGATGGCTACGGGATTTCTTTGGGAAGTGACGGAAATGTTCCGGATTTAGATCGTGGTGACGGTTGCACAATCTTGTGAATGTACTAAAAACCGTGGAATAGTATACTTTAAAAGGGTGAATTTTATGGCGTGAAAAGTATATCTCAATATAGGAAGAAAGGCAGCCCCGTGGCAGAAAGAGCCCTGGG